CAGACAAAAATGACAATATTCAATAAAACAAAATAACAGATTTAAAACATCGCAAAATTTCGCCTGTCAAAATGTTCACTGCCTTTTAAATGTATTCATTTTTTTCGAATCCTGAGATAACTAATAAATATTTTTGAAAACTTTAAACGCAGAATGAAAGATTGCAATATTAAAAAGGGCCAAAAGTCCCTTAAAATAACCAAAAAGTTTCTTTTGGTTGAGATATTTGAAGTTAAAAGCCACACTAAATTTTCTGTTTTCTTTTACCCCTGTAACTTATTGAAATAAACAATATAGAAGTTTTCAGGGACTTTTGGCCCTCGATAATAACGTAATCTTTCATTATGTGATAAAATTTTTCAAATATATGTATTAGATTTCTCGTTATTCAAAAAAAATAAATACATTTAAAACACATTGAACATTTTGACAAGAGACATTTTCAGCCTATGCCACACTTTTTATTCCATTGAGGATAAAAGTCGAAATAGTCCAGGAAACGAACGTTTTCACCTCGCTATTTTTTCGAAAAAGATCGATTTTTTTGAAAATTTGAGAATAAGTAGTGGATAGTCCGAAGATAAAATTTATATGATGTCAAAAGGCGCTATTACCATGGAGTAGTTGCCACCTCATCTGATTTGACCGCAAAAATTTATAGAAAATCAATGTTTTTTTAATCAGTTTTGTGCTAATAACTCGAAAATTATTCGTTTTATCAAAAAAACTGTAATTGACAAAACTGTACCTTTTAAGATCCTTTTGAAGACATCAGGAGAAGAACCGGAGTGACTGACATCATCGAGAAGATAACCAGACTAAAATTCAGAATGACAGATGGGCGATGGACAAAGAGGTTATTGGAATGGAGGCCAAGGAAAGACAAGAGAAGCGTCGGTCGACCACCTACAAGATGGACTGACGATTTGAGAAGACTCAATAAAAACTGGATAAGAGCGGTGCAAGATAGACGGGGTTGGAAACACGAGGAGGAGGCCTATGTTCAGCAGTGGACTCTTGAGGCTGGATGATAATGTACCTTTTAAACATATAAACAAAATGATTTTTTTATTTTCTTTAAGACTAATATTAATTGAGCTATACTTTATTATAGGTTAGCTCTTCTTCGTCGAATGATAAATTTTGAGTGTTAAACTCAAATGACAGGAAAACTACGCAGTTTTCGAGAATACCTTTTATAAACTGATTTAAAGTATTAAAAAAGAAAGTCTCAGAAGAAACTTTCAAATAAAGTAAGTAAGAAAGTAAAAAAGAAAGTATAAAAATTGGGTAATTTTGTGTTGCAATTCGAAAAATTACATCGGTAACTTCTGTTCTTCGTCTTAAGTCTTCATGTCTAACTTGGTCACGAAGCGATATACTCAGCATTGATCTTTCCATTTTCCTCTGAGCCATTTGCAATTTCAAAGTTTAGGCACCATAGGTCATCATAGGCAACACAACACACATTGGTCAAATGTTTTACTTCTTCTTCTTAGGGTGCCTGTCCATTCCGTATATTGGCGATTCTAGCTATGGTGACTTTGTTGTTTGCTATACGAAATAGTTGTGTTGAGGTCTTTCTATACCATGCTCTCAGGTTAGCAAGCCAGGATATTCTTCTTCGTCCTGGGGCCCTTTTTCCTTTAATTTTACCTTGCAAAATGCATTGAAGTAGCTCATATATGTCTTGATTACTCATTATATGTCCCAAGTACTGCATCTTACGGCCCTTCACGATATTGACCAAATCCGCGATGGCATTCATCCTCCGCAGTACTTCTTCATTGGTGACTTTGTCTGTCCATGGTATCTTCAGCATCCTTCTGTATAACCATAGCTCAAAAGCCTGAAGTTTTGATAGAGTTTTCGCCTTCGATGTCCACTTTTCTACTCCGTACAGAAGCACTACGTAACATTTAAGGAACCTAAGTTTTGTTTCTAGTGTGAGGCCATTTGTCTTTCCGATGCGACATTTAATCTCTTGGGGATTTTCCCACGACTCATTGATTATAGTTCCCAAGTAGTTGTATTGTGAGACACGTTCAACTCTCATTTGGTTTACATACAGATTTGCTCCAGTTATGTTGTCCTTGCTGATGATCATTAGCTTGGTTTTGCTGGTGTTTATATCCAGTCCATATGTTCTACTTATTTTACGTTTTAAAAAAATTGGTATATCGCTTTTAAAGATATCTTCTTAAGAAGTTAACTTTATCAAAACCAAAATTTTCAACTCAGGGTCAAACCTGGAAAACAACAGAAAGCATATATATATAACTAATTTTTTGCTTCTATTTTCATTACGTAACTCACATCAAATTTTGTTATCTTCAGACTTTTATACATTTTGGCAATGAGGGGCTGCTTTTAACCCCTTTTCAAAGGGTGGAAAAATTGAAAAATTATACTTGGAGCACCAAAAAATCATTATTCAATTCATCTTTATCAAATTTCACTGTAAACTTTTTTGTAGAGTTTGGAATAAGAAAGGTAAAGTTTTCACCATTAAAAAATAACTTTTTAAATCATCCGATCAAAAATTTATCCTCCTAAAGCATTTTTTTTATAAATTTAAACAATTAGGTGTAGTTTTCGCCCTTAAAAATTATTTTTTTAAAGGATTGAAATGATCAAAAATTATAATTAGAGTATCAGATATTCATTATTTAATTCATCTGAACCAAATTTCATTCTTTTTGAGCTTTTTTTTTATAGATTTTGGCAATAATTTTCACCCTTAAAAAATAAAAAACACTCGTCAGCACAGTATAGATTTTGAAGTAGAGGATAATTTGAACTTAATCCCAAATTTTTATGCAAATCTGTTCAGGAAATAAGTAAACAGAAAAAATATTTTATCGCTTTAGTTATAAAAAAGCGAAAAAAGCTAAGTCTATAAAAAAATGTAAAAATTAACAAAATATTCGTGTGGTACAGTTTTGTTTCGTCCATCTTTCAACCAACCTTTTCAATCTTTCCACAACCTTTCCAATCCACATCCTTCCATATACAATTTCCTGACGTTTTTCATAAGACGAAAATCCATCTTGTTGGTGGTCTACCTCAATGTCTCTTGTTTCCTCTAGGTCTTCATTTTGTGAGTCATTTGGTCCATATATTATCATGAAAACCTTTTATATGGTACCTTCATTTGGTTTACGATATCTTTTCTATGATATCTGTTGTTTTATTTCTCCTTCTTCCTCCTCCTGTATCATATCTCTTCTGATTATCCCTAGATTTGCTCTTTCCATTGCTCTTTTGGTTAGTCTTCATTTACTGGCAGTTTTTCCGTCAATGTTAATATTTAGGAACCATATATTGTTACCGGCAGTATATTTGAACTGCATTATAATAATATGGATCTAGTTTATGTAGACATTTAATCTCTTCACTTGGATCTAGTTGGTCAGTAATATAGGATCCCAGTGATATAAACTGGAATCCTACATTAACGTTTTGTTGCATCTGAGGTGTCTTGTATTGACGAGGTAAAGCACAGGCTCTTTTTAACCTAAAGCCACTATACGGAAAAGATTTCAAAAATGAATGTCGATATAATACATTAAAATGATGCAATAACATAATAAAGTTATTTGTCGATTGAATAGATGTAATGAGCTATACATCTCTCCATCTTAAATAACTGTTTTGATTAATTAGACAACAAATTAAACCAGAAAACTGTTATTCTTAATTAAGGTATAATGAAACGGTACTCAAAAATTGAGTAAGTACCCGAAATCTTTTTTTGCCATAAATGACTTTGACTGAATACTTTATACTGAAAGTTGACAGATATAGATTCATAAAAGGGCTACAACTTTGCAGTGTCCGATTTTAAAAACGCTTCCTATATTCCCTCCAAAAATACTATAACATTTAAGTGTTTTTTATGAACCGTCCCTGACAAAATTAGACTGTTGATGTTGATTAGTCGGAATATTAAAATTTTGCGGGTGTATATGTCAATAGTTTTCTCTTCTATTCCACTTATTATCTTCCAATCAGGAGTATGATTATTGTTGCATTTGCAAAATTGTAAGAAGAAAAAATAATTTCATTAAATATATCACGATAAAATGATAAAAGCGTCGTACGTAATTATCATCTTCAATTTTAATGCTTAATATTCATCATATTGAGGTATGGAATATCGGAGTCAAAGTATTTACAAAAGAAAGAACAAATTTTAATATATTTTCACAATCTTATTCAATTTATCATAACGAAGCAGCTGCACTGTCAAAAACATTTTCAAAACAGTTTTTCTTAAAGAAATTCTTTCCTCTTCCTAAAATCCTTTCAAAAAGGATTGTTATTTCGAAAGAACCCTTACCGCTACCCGTAAAGAGTACAGTATCAAATTTTGCACAAAAATATCCTATTCTGTCGAATAATCAACATAACATGTCAGGTAAAAATTCCTCAACCCGAAAACAACCCATTAAATCTGATCGTATCCTTAAATCCCAACTCGGACCTAATGTGTGAGTACATATATATAAATGTAACTGACCATATCAACCTGTATGGAATATTTTAAAATAAAATAAAAACCCTTTTCAAACATTTCTAGTCGACCAAACATGCTCATAAAGAAAAAAAGAAGTAAAATGGGTTAAATGCCTCCCTCGCATATAGCTAGGCGCAAATCTTTTTCAAACACCCCTACGTATACCATCTGCCTTTGTCAAAATCGTGGGAACTTGGACTAGATCGCGATTCTCACGGATCCTACACCCTATACACACAACCTTCCATCTCTGTCCCGCTTTCTAAAACCACATACGCCGAGCCGAGGCCCGACATCATCTCAGCGTTAAGAAACACCTGTCCTTATACTCGATTTTCATTTGTCGAGGGTGGAACCCCTCTATACACGTCCTAAGGGCCTGTGACGTCGCGCTCTCGGCATTATAAAAACCCGCACGGCTCCGAAACTTTATTCATTTTTCGAGTTCGTTTTACGAAATCAACTAGTACGTTTTATCAACATGAGTTTCTACGACGCCGAAGTTTTCAATAATTCTGTCAATGACAACAAGGTCAACGACAAGAAATCCAAGTCGACGATCCACCAGATCAAGAAGCTGATCAAATGCATAATAAAGAAGAATAAGCACACCTACGTCAAGAACCCGCAGCCCGATTACTACTTCGATGAAGAAATTAGCGACAATCTCGCTAATGAAATCCTCGAGAACGAGATCTTCGAAGACATCGACAACTGTGAGGATTTTTCAGCCGTCCCAGTATACGAGAACGGTGAAATGGACTTCATGCCAGTTACGAGAGGACAGAGATACATCCCTGTGCATTTCGCAAGAACCGAAGCCGGCACATTCTTCTGGACATCAATCACCACTCCCGACGCCGATATTTGCTATCACGGTGACAAGAACGCCATTTCAAACTACCAGGTTCCACAAAGGCAAGTACCTAATGATAGATGGGCTCAAGCTTAATTTCTATGTATGTAAAATGGTTCGTTCTGTGATGTACCAGTGCCTTTAAAGACATTTCATGTGATGGTTTTGCTCAAATTTTATTTTTGTAGTTTTTTTTATTGACTGATGTCAAATGTGATATTGTAGATTTAAATGTTTATATTTTCAGATTTTTTATCTGAATGTGATTGAGAGCTTTAATTGATTTTTTTTATATTGTAAAATACGTCTTCCAGTAGAATTTAAGAAAAAATAAATTTTATTTTAATAGTAACATGTTGTCTTTCCTTTTTTTTCATTTTCAGGTGCACATGCAAAATTTATTTTGGGGAAAATAATTTTAAGCAAAAAGTAATTTTTCAAACATAAATTATAACTGAAAAATTATTTTTTTGTTTAAAATATGTTCCTAAATCAAAAAATTTACTAAAAATTGGAGCAACAGTGACAGTATTTTGTACATACCTAACCACAAACTATTAATTATACCTATTAGTAAAATTAAAATCTAGAGTTGAACAATTGCTTTTTTGATTAACTAACAATATAAACACAGTTAATATTGTTAGTTAATCAAATCAAGTAAAAAAAATTAAGAAAAAAAGTAAAAGTATTTTAAAATGTTGTGTGCATAAACACAAAATATATTAAAATATCAAGTGCCAATAAAAGTCAAATTAAAAAATGTTTGAAAATTTTGTTTTGAAGCAATTTATTGCCTCAAAAATAAATAGTGGATATGTACAGGTATGTCAATACACACAACTTGTTCTACAAAATTTTTACCCGAAGATTATATTACTACAGGGGTCCATCTACCTGTAGAAGAACAGGTAGGTATTTGTAGTCAACCAGCTAAATACTGAACATAATACCCTTCGGCAGATATCATTTATTTTATTGAATAGCAGAAGGGTATTATGTGTATAATCCATGGCGAATACATAAATTGTATAGCGTGATTTTTCTTGGTATGTTTTTGAAAGTGGTATTTGAAATCTAAGGTAGAAACGAAGAGATACAGGATACAGGTAAATGCTGTAAACTCTAGGTAGAGAAAGTCATTTAACATTATTCTCTACGGGGAATTAGAGGGACATGTTTTTAGATACATGTAATTTAACCTTCGTAACAGTTAAGACAATTGATTTTATACAGTAAAAATAAAAATATTTATTTTCTTTTTTTGGGGCGTTAAAAATTTTATACTATAATTGGTTTTATGGGTTACTATTCTCATTGTCTTCGTCCCTATCTGGGATGGTCTTCTCTAATTACATTTAAAATTATGTTTTTACACACTCTTTGATTTTGGTGTTGAGCTTTTGAATTTAATTATTTTTCAAGACATATATGAGGCAATCAGAGCAAGAGTGGGCTAACCCCAAATATTGAATATTGGATTGACATGAACCAAGAATATATGCGTTTTTTGAAATTTTATAAAATTAAAATATGATGCCAAAAGGTAGTCATTGTTTACAGATCATTAACTAATAACAAAAAACTCGAAGATCTTGCAGTATATTTAACAAAAATATAAAAGTTTAAGCTTTTTGTGGATTAGACCGCTTTTGCATTAGTGTGCTCTTAAAAATTTTAATAGGAATGTGGATTCGATCTGGAGTACAATACAATTAAACAATATCAATGTTAAAAATATGCTTTATTAAAAATCAACGTAAAAAAATATTTAATCTTCATCGTTAATGAACTCTTCTTCTTGCTGTATACTGGATCTTATTGTTCTGGTGCTTGTGTAAAATCCATTATGTATTGGAGGTATTAATCAAAGTAATTCCAAAAGGCCTTTTTTTGCTTCGGTTATTGGGCGTCCATCGGGATAAAGATAATCTAGCTAAAGTATTTCCCCGCATGTTCTCTTTTTGACATCTAGTGAGTAAAAGGTAACATCTGCATTATTGCTGTATTTATCGTAAATTGTAAATGGATTTGTTTTCTTGTATTGCAACCACTGAATCTATAACCATTGGACGTTTGATTTTTGTGTATCAAATTTGCAATTTGTTATATTTCTTTCTAACTTCTTAGTAGAATAAAAATCGTTTTCTGTCATCGTTATTACCGTAAAATGTGCTTTCTTTCATGCATGTGCTATTACCTTTATCCAGTAGTCAGGTACGTAGATATCTTTAAAAAAAATTTTTTGCTTACTTATTACTCCGAAATCTTGGTCACAGGCAAGGTAAGAATGTCCGCTGACTAAAAACTTTTTCATCAACATTTTCCACCACACTATTAAGATGTGACACAATAAAATCGCAAAGGACAGCCATTTTAATGTTACGATTCTACCCTCCGCATTGATCGTTATATAGTATTACATTTTTTGTTGTAACAACATTTTTAAAATATTGCATTAAACAGGATCCTATTTCTTGAGGTCCTCGTGATGCTTGTGTCTCTTTCCAAACATACATAATAATATGAGCAATGATCAAAGTTCGCATCAAGTCAAATGCAATCACTGTAATTTCTTCAGGATTTTGTTTTGCATACTCTGCATCTTGTTTCATACCACATCTAGCACGGTCTGCTTTTCGTTAGTGAACCTCTAGTGTTACTTCAAATTCACGTTTTTCTGCTTGAACTGTTGAGAACTTTATTTTATTGTTATACAAATCACATTTTTTGCACGAATCCGTAATTGGTGCATGGAATCCAATATTAAATTGGGTGGTAAATATTTTTCGAAATATGTGAAATGAGAAAGGATTACTAGTATTCTATCTCCTTTGTAAAAGTTATAAAGGATTCCTAAAAATCGGTCTATCCTACAAAGATGTTGGTTAGCCCACTCTTGCATTATTTTACGTATTTATGTATTGAACAATTTTGGTCTATTTCACAACTTCGTGGGTTAGCCCATTCGTTTTTTCAAATTTTTGTTATTTTCTATAATGCAAAATCACCTTACTGGAGAGATTTATGTTATAATATACGGAAATGTTGGTTAGATCGGTTTTGCATTTAAAACTTTAGGTCGTTAGAAGTGATTGCAATCTATAACTCGATTATCAACCAAATGTTGGTTAGCTCACTCTTGCTCTCATAGCCTCATATAGACTCAAGACTCTATAAAAAAGTCATAACTGTTTTAATAAAACTGGTCATAATTTAATTTATAATGAATTTTTTTGTAAGTAATGAATTTTATATTAAGTATTATTTATATAGAATTAAACCACAATACAATGAGATCTATTTTGTCCAAAACCGAGCCAAACACTACACAGGAGAGATCAGAGAACTGCATATACAGTTACTGTGTAAAATACCTTGTCCTTGTGGATGCCAAATTTTTTATGTGGGAGAAACCAGAAGATCACGAAGTGTCAGGATAAATAAGCATGAAACATACATAAAAAAACAGAGTTTTCGATAGATCCCAATATGTAAACAAGCCTGGGGTAATGAGCACATGGTACAATGAAAAGTTGCATGAATAGTCATCAAATATGTGTCTATATCTGTATCTGCCTGTGAGAAAAATGACTTTCCTATTGATATACTAATTAATTTAATTGTGATAGACAATTCAATTATTTATATATACGAATAGTATTAGAGAGCTGACTTTACAATAATGGCAAAAGAAACCTTGGCAATATTGTGATAAAAATGGATTCTCAGACATCGGTGTATGAAATGAAGCACTTGCTGTAATTTTAGGAAAATCCGTTGGCTGTTTTATTGCTGTATCTAGTGCTGAAGTTGGTTCTGATTGCTCTGTTTCAGATATTTCAACTGAAAACTGTTAGCAAAACTGTGCAGAACAGAAAAAGCAGAATGTACAACAAAAAAATTTCATATTATAACTTCATCATCAGCCTCTATCAATCCACTGCTGGACATAGGCCTCCCCTGTTTGTTTCCAAAGTGTTCTATCTTGTGCTTGCTGTATAAAGTTTTTTGTTGTCTTTTGTAAGTCGTCTTGTCATTGTGTTGGTGGTCTACCTTTTCTACGTTTTACAGCTTCTTTCAATGACGTCTGTGACTTTGGTCTTAGCTCGTAGATCTTCGTTTCTAATCCTGTCTCGCAGAGTCGCCCCTATCATTGATCGCTCCATTCTTTTCTGCGCTACTCTTAGTTTTTGTGCGTTTTTATTTGTGAGCGATAATGTTTCTGCACAATAGGTCATCACCGGTAGCACGCATTAGTCGAAAACTTTTTTCTTCATATTAGTTGGGATGTCACTCTTAAAAACGTTCCTAAGAGCTGCGTATGCTGCCCATCCTTGTATTATTCTTCTGGATACTTCGGTTGTTTGATTGTCCTTACTTATATTAATTTCGTGACCCAGATATATATATATATATATATATATATATATATATATATATATATATATATATATATATATATATATATATATATATATATATTGTCTACTAGTTCTATTTTTTCATATTGTATTTGAAGTGTTTACTTGGTACTAAGTTTGTCATATATTTTGTTTTTGTTATATTCATTTTTAAACCTATTTTATGACAGGCTGTACTAAGTTCTTCCAACACTTTGTTTGTCCCAAATCGTCTGCAATCAGGACTATATCGTCTGCGTAGCTTAGGTGGTGTAGCATCTCTCCGTCCACATTTATTCTTTTGTCACCCCATTCGAGGGTTTTGATCGCTTTTTCTATAAATTATAGAGTATTATATATATAATTATAGAGCCGATATGAAAAGTTTAGGTGACAACGTATCACCTTGTATACCTCTTTCGATATTTATTTGGTTGCTGTTAGCGTGTAGTTGTATCGAGCTTGTCGCATTTATATATACATATATATTACATATTAGCCTCGAATATCGGCTATCAATGTGGCTCTCGTTTTGTGCTTCTATAACACTGTCCAGTTCTACTGGGTTGAATGCTTTGTGGAAATCTAGATATTATAACTTACGATGTTTTAAAGTAATTTTTTATTTGTTAGATTCCAACTAAAGAAGAATTTCAGCAAATAGAACACGGTTTTTAAACTAAATGGAATTTT